CCCCGTGGGGGAGGGGCATTGCCAAGAGGAGTCCTTTCAGAATAACAATAGGTGTGAAAAGCTTTTTGAAACCACTCCTGGGAAATAAATCTGGGGTGCAAATTGCTTTTTCAGTGGTTTAGGTCAAGACTGAATCAGAAGAAAAATAAAGCACCTGAAAGCTGTAGTAAGAAGTTTTATGAAATTTATTTCATCAACAGAACTAAAGAAAAATTGAGTTTGAACATTGAAAACTGAAAAAAAGTACAAGTGAAGTGAGCATGAAAGATAACAAATTAATAGATAATGAGGAATATATTGAACAGAAGTTCGGATGTACATATGAAACAAAAATAATTTAGTATAATAGTAATTTTAGATTAATGACAGTATATCTTTTAAAACAACTATATCTTTTGTAGTTGTTTTATATAGAACTTAATTATGTAGTAAACTATGCATGATGTATTTTGTGAGTTGTAATATGTATTTTAATTTTCCTTTTTAAATATTTTATAGTAGTTTTGGTTGACTTCTACAGAAACACACAATTTATATTACAGTGTTTTCCAACGCTGTAGTTTTTAAGATTTAAATTCACGTTAGTTAAAGTTAAATGAAATTTAAAATTCAGTTCTCAGTCTTAGCAGCCCCATTTCAAGTACTCAGTAGCCACATTTGGTTAGTGGTTGCCATATTGGACAGTGGAAATAGAGCATTTTCATCATCACAAGAAGTTCAAGAAGTTCCATTAGACAGTGCCTATCTATTTATGTGTTTTCCTTAGAAAAAGTGATTTCCTTAACAAAAGTGTTTTGAACATCTACTGTATGCTAGACACCATGGAAGTTCATTACAGCAGATTAAAAAGAAATAAGATAAAACATTATTAGTCTTCTAAGGTCAAAATTGGGGATTTGGAGTTTCACACACATATCCAAAGCATTTAACCACATATTTTCAACCCATTGTGGAAAGACCTATAATATTTGTATGTTCAAAGACTAAGGTATTAAAAGAGGCTTCCCAGAGGATATTATCATTTAAGATGTGTTTTAAAGATAAGTAGGAATTTTGCAAATAAATAAATAAAAGGGGAGAGAATATTTTAAGCAGGGAGCATAGCTTTTGCAAAGTCAGAGAAGTGTGAATTGGTGTGGAATATTTGGAAGATGGCAGTTAATTCTGTGTGGCTGATGCATAGGAGAATAAATATGAACCATAATGGGAAAGCTAGGAGAGGGCTGTGAAGAGGAGCCTTTTGCATCACACTGAGCCTCCCTATCTTTATCCTGTCAGTGCTAGAGAACCATGGGAAGGATTTAAGTAGCAAGTCATGAGGTTAATCTTCATTTTAGAGAGTGCTCTGTTGATGTGGCATGCAAATTGGATTAAAGGGGGAGGATGCTGGAGAATAGTATCTCTATATCCAGCTCTTCAACTCAGAAAGCAGGCATCGTCCTTGTCCCCTTTGGGCCGCATTCCCTGCATCACTTAGTCTACTTTACGAAATTTACGTTGGGTCCACTGACATATTTTCATCTTTAGTCCAATCGGTCTACCTAAGGCCACCATCATTTCAGGGTTAAGGCACTGCCTTGATCTCCTCAGGGGACTTACCCTACCTACTGCTCTCCCATCTCTTTTACCCACAAAAGAAAATCTGATCTTAAAATTAAAAATCAACCCATTCCAATTGCTGGTTAGAACCCTTCTTTCGGTGGCTGCCTCTCCTGGGTGCTAATCTAAGCCTGTTTCTCAGCCCATTCATTATTCCACGCTCCTTATTTTTTCCCCTCCAGTGGCCTGGGTGCCCCAACCTCTTCTGTGCTTCCAGGTCTTTGCACATACTGTTCCCTCCTTCTGGAGGGCTTACTGCACCTCACACAGCCAGTCTCAATTAATCATCACTTCCTCCAGGAAGCCTTCTTTGGCTCTTCAGCTTTGATATTGGAACAGCACCCTGTTCTGTTTGCAGTGCTTATCATGACTGTACTCAAGTAATGATATGTTTGTTTGACCTCTGCCTCCTCCCAATAAATGAAAGTTCCACGAGGCACCATTGGTTCTCCCTGGAACAGAGTATATGGTAGGTAAGTGCTGAATGAAACGAGGTTGTTCCTCTAAATCCAATGGGACCGGGTGAATGCCTGGGGAAGCTGTGGAGGTAGAATCATCACAGGATAAGAGGAAGAGAAGGGTGAGAAGAGGAATCTGATGGCTTTAGCTATGGATTCAAGATGGGAGGTGTCACTAACAGCATTGGGAAATACAAGGAGAGGAAACAAGCAGCATTATGGAGAAAAATGGTGGGAGTTAGAGTGCATGTAGGTTGACTGAGACACTTCCCTGTGCCTCCTGGGCCACCTGTAGGAGACTGGATGGGGCAGCAAGACCAGGAGCATTTTGCTCTTCATGGAGTGGGTGACAAGCACAACAGGGGAAGTGGCACCCAGCATGCTAACCTCAGTGGGCAACATGGGAGTGAGTGGTTGCTGACACTTGGCTGGTGATGGCTGCTGGTTAGAAATCCCTTGGCTTAAGTGATTTCTTTGCTCTTCTGTTCTTGTGATAGTGGGGGAATGAAGATCTGTACAGAGGCTGTCTCTACCCTCACTTGAGTTTTGCCTTTTTTGTGATGGGTTTTATTTTATGATCTTATATTTTTGATTTATGATGACTCCACTTCTATTCAGCACCACCACTCCCAGGCCAGACTCAGTGGTAAATCCAGCTCTTGGCTCTCAGGAGCCCAACCTCAGTCCTCCTGCCCCCTGTAACAGCCCAGGGGGCAAAGGGGCAAAGAGGGTATGCCTTGGCTCCTGACAAGAGAGGGATGGGGCTCCTTGGCAAGGTGATACCTCCCTCCCAATTGCTCTCAGTTACCCTTAGTTTTTTCTCTGAATCCAACATGTACTAAAAGGAGTGTTTGGAACCCAAAGATTAAAATTAATTCATGTCTCTGTGACTATATTCCCTTCTGGTAAATGATCACTGGGTGAGAATTTAAACTTCTGCTGTACAATCAAATCAGGGCAAATAATCTCTACCTTATAGAGTTGTTGGGGAAGATTAAATGAATCCAGGCATGTAAAACTCTTAGTAAGGGCTCAAGATTATTACTATTATTTTTTAACTTGTTGAACAAATATATATATTACTAATTTTGTATATATAGTAATATATATATTACTATATATTGACTTATTTTATTGAGTTAAAATTGACTTACTGTTACTAATATGTTTGAAATTATATCAGGAAAGCAATTAAAAAATGAAAAAAATAGGGGGTGGATGATTCTGTGAAAGACACATGAGATGGAGGAAGAATGGTCCAAGTGCTTGGCAGAGGCCTCAGAGAAAATATTCTCAGACCCTAAAGAAAGTATTTTCAAGGAAGAGGGAGAAGTCCAAGTATAAGTGCTTTAAAGAAGGTCTAGTGAGTACTGACTAAGATGAGCACATTAGGTTTGACCGTTAGGATATCATTGGTGAGGTGACAGAAGACATTTTATGAAACGGGAGTGGCGATGGTTAAATCAATTGCTAAACCATCCACCAAGCAAAGATTCCATAAGTTGGAAACAATTGCCTATGTGTTTCAATGAGAATCTAATTTGAAAAAATACTTATGTTAACTCAGCGGCAGGGATATTATAGTGAACAAATCAGGTAGCACAAAGGATCTGTGGGAGGTCAAAACAAAGGCTGCTGAGGAGTCCGGATTCTGAAACCTAATCCTGCCAATACTTCTGCCAGCTCTGTCACCTTAGACAAGCCTCCTCCCTTTGGGCCTTGGTGTCTCAGCTGTAAAGAGGAAGGAAATGGACTTTCAATGTCACTTTCAGTTCTCAAAAGACCCCATGTGTAAGCCATGTATCTTATCTTAGTCATCATCAAGGACATGTTATTTCAATATTGTGATGTTTCAAATTGCATTCTTCTCCGAATAACTATAATGCATCCTATTCAGTTCATAAATGTTGAAATAGAATTAGTAGCAGTAGACTTATGATTAGTATGGATTAACTAGTGTATTATCTGCAAAGAAAGACATTTCTCCCAGGAAGTCACACTCATGTATATATTAGGTACTTACTATTTTTTGTCCTTATTTACTTATTAAGTATATTTCTATAAACATATATTAATGTATCCATTTATTCAATTTTGAGCAGCTTCTGTGTGCCAGACACACCCCTAGGTGCAAGATACAGAGAAAAGCAGACTAAGATCCCAGGCTAGTAGGGAAGGCAGACATATGAACATATAAATGGCAGCACTGTGTGGAAAACACAACAGTAGGTGTATCTAGAGAAGGGATTAATGCATTCTCTCATCTGGGAGGAAGGTGTCAGGATTAACACAATAGAGATAGAGCTTGCTCTTTTACAAATTCTTTGGCTTTCCATTAAAGTATTTCTGGTACACATCTGTTATTCTTGATATTCCCTTTAACTTTCTTGCCTCAGCAATTAAATTGAGCTTTTGAAAATAATAAGGCCCAAAATATTAAATCAGTTTATTTTTATATGATGTAGTGTGAATGTCATTATTGCACTGTACTAGTATGAAAAATTAAAATGTAATATATTTTTGCCTTTTGGTTTTACTCTTAATACTTACAGTTAATAATTGTAATAAGGTTTTTAGTTTATTAGACATTATTTAATTGCATAACATTCCAAAACATAATGAATATCAGGAAAAGTTTATTATTTTTATGCTGAAAGTAATCTTCACTTTATAGACAAGTCCAAATGACTTTTTTTTTAAAGCCTATACAGTAAGCACTTTCAAAAGAAAGTACATTTCCGTGAAGATTTTAAAGATAATAAAATGAAAGCCGGTGGGGTTTTTGGTTTGTTTATGAAGACATTTCTAACATTTCAATCAATAATACTAGTATACTTTAAAGAAAATGAAGGAGCGGTACAGCTAGAGCGATGCATTTGAAAGATACCAATATTTTTAAAAAGAAGCACTGCTAACGTCGAGTCCCTCTGTTTTAAATTGCAGCACCTTATGAAATATGCCCCGAGGATTATCTGATGTCCATGGTGTGGAAAAGGACTCCAGCGGGCGACTTGGCCTTCAATCAGTGTCCACTGAATGCCACAGGTAAAGTAGGACGACCCACCCGAACCCAAATGATGGTCGCCATCCAGGAGCAGCATGCTGTGTTTGCTTATGAAGTCATGCTTTTGTCCTATGTCCAATAAGCAGTTAATGAGACCATTTTAGTGACTTGCTTCATACATGGAGCCAATGAAGAGACCTAGAAAATGTGGTTGATGCCGTGCTTTCTCAGTGTGACTGATAAGCTTTACAAAAATAATCAAAATGCTCTCATCTGCATGCTTTTTTAAAGCAAGAAAATGTACAAACCTCATTTTTGAGTCTGCCTCACAATTACGCCATGCCTTCTAGCATCCCTGTTATAAAGCTTCTCTCTGTTCTTTGTGACATGCAGGCACCACTAGCAGACGCTGCTCTCTCAGTCTTCATGGAGTGGCCTTCTGGGAACAGCCGAGCTTTGCAAGATGCATATCAAATGAGTACAGACACTTGCAGCATTCAGTAGGTGCAAAGCCAGCTTTAGTACTTGCTCTGTTTATTTTTGCTAATGATCACTGTGTGAGAATTTAACCTTCTGCTATACAATCAAATAGGTAAAAAAATTAAAAAAAAAATCTGAAAAAATGCCTAAAGGGAAAAAGGATGTGATAGAGAGCTAATATTTACAAGTCTGTACTAAACTGTTTGGTTCCTAAGGTTTGAGTTTTTATGGATCCCGCTATTTAAATAAAAGAATTCCTTGACAGGCATGAGAAAAATCTGTTATTCAGTTTTATCTATAGGAGTAAGATTCTTTATCATGATTGGCACATATCCGTGGTAAATAGTATATAAACCTTATTTTAAAATACTATACATTTTTAATTAAATTCTTTAACTTTTAGTTGTTAGGAATTGATAAGGCTGTGTCACTTAGGTATCAAATTTCTCACTGCATTTTGACATTAAGGTATGAACAAAATCACAGTGTTACTGCACCAGGGAAATTAATCGTTCACACAAGCCAAAATGGGGTCATTAATCAGTTTAATATATAAAATCACTAATCTGTTGTATTGATATTTTGTTTGAATTCTTTGAGGACAGAAACCGTGTTTTTTTTTATCTTAATTCTCTAGTGCCTAACAATGCTAATCATATGCTAGAGATTATGTGCATGCTGTATAAAGAATGACTGCCACTTTTCTCAACAGTAGGAAGAGACCAGCAGCTGGAGTTTCTGAGAAGGTGACATAAGGTTTATGAATTTTAACCACATGAATTTAATAAGTGTTACCCATCATGTGAAATTTTCCTAGCCTGAAAATGTTTAGAAATGGTGACATTTCTTTATGAAATTATTTGGTAATTTCAGAGAGATTTCAATAACTTAATAATCATAAAGTTTGTTTGGAAACCTTATACGATATAAAATTAGCCTGGCTAGCATGGCTCAGTTGGTTGAGCAATGTCCCATACACCAGGAGTTTGCTGGTTTGATTCCTGGTCAGGGCACAAGCCCAGGTTGTGGGCTTGATCCCCAGTAGGGGATGTGCTGAAAGCAGCCCATTAATGTTTTTCTCTCATGGATCTCTCTCTCTCTCTCTCTTTCTCTCTCTCTCTCTCTCTCCCCCCCGCTCACTCTGAAATCAATAGGAACATATTTTTTAAAAAGATACAAAAGTAGACACTGTGATCCAGCTTTTCTTTATAAAAAAGACGAACCACAAACAAATGTACACAATTTTAAAAATTGAGGATAGAGACATAAAGTATTAAATATAGTGGGATTATTGAAAATTTTATATTTTTCCACATGTTAGTGTTTCATTTTATACTTGAGGCCATTTTCTAAATTTTATAGCAGACAAGGTAGAAATAATATCAGAACCTGTTGGGAACTAGGTTCAGTAGTCCAGCAAATTAAGAACACTTGTTACTTATAAAGCTGTTTTGAGAAAATGGCTGAATTCTGTGGCCAAGTGGGCCAGCCTTCTCTGAAATTAAATAAATGGACCCACCTTGTTTCTGGTACACCTGGACAATCACAGGCTTCTCTTCCTCCTCTTCCTCATCCCCTCCCCTCCTTCTTTTCCTTCTCTATTCCTCCTCCTCCTCCTCCTTCTTCCTTCCTCTCCTTCTTCTCCTCCTCCTTCTGCTCATCTCCTCCTCCTCCTCTTTCTCCTATTTCTCCTTCTTCTCTCTCTCTCTCTTATTCTTTCATACTGCCTCTTTTACACACACACACACACACACACACACACACACACACACACGCGAGAGAGATGACAGACTACATAGAACTGGCAGAATGTATGCCTTTGACAGGTAGCCAGCTGTCTAAAGCAAAAGGAGTTAAACCAGGTATGCTAATGCTTTCTCCTAGATAAATCAAACAGGTAAGTCCTTCCCTGAGTGGAGTGAGTGATGGGGCAGAGAAAAAGCATAGATAATATTCTAATAGAGGTTTCTTCACATGGAAATGTGAATAGTTGGTTATAAATGTTCTCTTTTAAGTTGTTCCTTAAAACCTGTTTCTGTTTTCAAACTTTTATTTAACAAACATTTTAAAGACAGGAGTTGGGGCAATAATCTACCTAGTCATTGAAGGTTTGACTTTATGGGAAGAGATGTCAAGGAGCTTGAATCCTGGTTTAAGGTTTTTGTTTCTCCTGTTTTCTTCTACTTTTATGGTGGTTCATTAGGAGAGAGAGATAAAGATAGTAAATGATAGCTGGGGGTGAGGGTGGAGCAAGGGAGAAGAGGAAGAGAGAATCAGAGAGAGAAATGAAGATAATAGGTTTGCTTTATGTTCTCTTCATCTTTTCTACCTTTCAGGGGAATTTTACTCCACTGCAGCAAAACACTTCATGTATCACATGCATTTTTGGCCACCACCTCATTGTACAAATCCCAGCACCCTGCCTCAAAGAGGACAATACATTCTATTACTGCAGCTTATTTAGAGGAAAGAAAACAATAGTCACCGTAGTTTTGTTTAGAACAAACACTTAGAACCAAAAATATGTGTAATTTTTTAAATATGTTTTTATTGATTTTAAAGAGAGAGGAATGGAGATGGAAAGAGAAACATCCAAGGGCTGTCTCCTGCAAGCTCCCTACTGGGGATGGAGCCTGAAACCTGGGCATATACCCTGATCTGGAATTGAAGGGTCAACCAAGTCACACTGGCCAGGGCCATTGTTTTATTTTGTTTTGTTAGTTTGTTTTAAATGAGCAATTAAGAAACAAATAACCCAGTACTATGGTCCAGCAGCAGATGATTTTAATTTTGAAATATCCATCAATTAAGTTGAAGTAAGTGAGCCTGAGAGTCAGGAGTTACTTGTTCTGCAAGCTTTCTGTAGTGCAGTATGACTGGAATACAGCAAGTGATCGGTAAAGCTAGGAGAATAAAGCTAGGTCAGTAATTTGTTAACCTTGGCTGAACATTATAATTGCATTAGAGTTCTTAAAAAATACCAATGGGGAGGTCACAGAAGGCCAATTAAATGGAGTTGTGCCCAGCCGATGTGTCTCAGTGGTTGAGTGTTAATCAATGAACCAGGAGGTCATGGTTTGATTGTCAGTCAGGATTTGTGCCGGGGTTTCAGGCTCTATCTCTTGTATGAGTGTGCAGGAGGCAGCTGATCAATGATTCTCATCACTGATGTTTCTCTCTCTCTCTCCCTCTCTCTTTCTCTCTGAAATCAATAAAAACAAATTTAACATATACCAATTTTTACCATAGTACACATTCAAAGAAGTCTGAGCTATTATTATCACTAATCACAATATTAGTTTGGCATCCATATACATGTATTTGTAATTACATGGCCCTCCATGACAAAAAGTGGCTACTCTTGTTTTAAATATCATACACAAAGGATAGCACTTGAGTGCCTGTGTATTCTTGTTGACAAACTTCAAAAGTTTGTCAGAGTCCTCACTTTCAGATAATCATTGCAAGACCCATGAATGCCAAAGAAAAGTTGAAAAACATTATTTCCTTTAAAATAAAATGTTTGTAGTTTTATTCAGGATCACAAGTTAGAGGTTTGAGGATCTGAGTTCAACATCACAATTTCAAAGTTTTTTTTTTAACATATGATCCTGAATAAAACTATGAGTTCACTAATTGTTCAACAAATGATAATACCTCACAGTTATTGAATGCTATCTGCCCTGAAGGAGCTAATGGGAAAATGTAGATATTTGGAAGGAAGGTGTTGTTTAAATCTTGATAGTCTCAAACAATTTATATGTCAAAGTTCACCATGTATGTCAAGGACAGGATAAATATTTTAGAGTTTAGACACCATATAGTATCTGTCCTAACTACTTAACTCTGCTGTTTTATCAAAAGATCTCTCATAGACTATAAGTAACCAAGGCTGTATTTCAGTAAAACATGCAAATCCAGGCAATGGGTTGGGTTTGGCCCACAGGTTGTAGGTCACTAACTCTTGATCTAGTATATACCTTCTATTTTTTTTAAGCTTCCAACTCTTTTAAAATTCTCCAAAAAAAAAATAGAGAAATTCTATTTTGTCTTTTTCCCCTTCTGTTTTCCTTAACATTTTAACCATAGTCATTTTAATACCCTAACAGCTAAGTCTAATATCTGGATAATCTGTAAACCAGCTTTTGTTTTGTTTTGTCAGTCACATCATCTGGCACAACTAGTAATTTTTTATTGAATGTCACTCGTATCAAATAATTGTCGGGACTTCAGACAATGTTCATGTCCACCAAGAAGCACTCCTTCCTTCCTTGGTTGTCTAAATACAGTGAGAGCTGGTACTTCAATACAGGCAAGAATTGGTCTGAGTCAAAGCTGTTTTGCAGTTTTAGTAAAAATACATTTACTTCATCCCCTTTTACCATCATGTCTTTCGGATGGGGAGCCCATGTGTACCCATCCCATCAACCCTGAAAAACTGTAGAAGATTCAGCTCTGCCCTACAAAAGTTCCCGGCTCAGTGCCCCAGCTTTCTGCCTTGGTAACTTCAAATGCTGCAAATAGCTTAAGGAGAAGTCCAGCTGGTTGCTTAAAGCTGGACTCTTCTCACTAGGCATTTATTGTCAAATGCCTATTTACAAGGATGGAGAAAATTACATTCTGTGGCTGAAAAGTTTTCATCATAATTCCTCAGCTTCCTACATATTTCAAAAACTCAACAAATGTCTTTTGGAGAAAAGTCCCAGCAAGATTTTTAGGGACCCTTACATTTCGTGTATATTTCTCCAGCCTTTGCCAACCGAAAAAGTTTCTCTTTCTGCTCTAATGAGCCTCTGCCTGGGTTACACCTTCTCCTCACTCCTGTCCAGATTTAGCAAACATTCCCAAAGAAAAAAAAAAGAAACCAGCTGAAATTGTTGGCTTACCTCTGAAAGGATCTCCTCTTTTCTGGAAATTAGTCTATTTCATTCGTAGCTCTCTGATGCTCTAGGACAGCGGTTCTCAACCTGGGGGTTGTGACCCCTATGGGGGTCGAACGACCCTTTCATAGGGGTCGCCT